AGTGTCATAACTGGAGGAGGTTGACCTTGCCAGAGGAGGGTTTGGTCATGCATATGGATAGTCTTCAGGTTTCTCATACCATTTTGAGAGAGGTAAGATGCTCTTTTTACCATCTTTAATCCTTCCTTTATTCAGATCATTAAATTTTTTAAATGTTCCTTTTCTGGATAACACACTCTGTGATTCCCTTTTAACTAACCTAACAATCTGTGCAGTGCTAATTTAGCAAACGTGATGTTTTCTGCCTTGACAAACTGCCACAAGTTAAACTGGTGAGCGGTGTAGCTGTACGATTCTTGGTGCCTGCTCAAAGCGGGTCATGGGGGTGTGAGGCATGGTGGAGCCAAGACACTAGACCACGAGAAACACATTTCTCCTTTGTACTGCTCCAGGAGTCAGACAATGGGGAGCATGCCTCCCGGTTGGAATGCCCCTCTGCTGGCTTAGGCGCAGCTTTACGTAGTGTTTGTTTAAAAACTCCCAGATCTGTGTTTCTAGTCTTAGCCTCTGTATTCATTTTCAGTAGGGCTGCCTGCTTCGGTAACAAAGTATCCAGATGAGGTGGCTTTAAAAAAAGAAATTTATTGTCTCCCAGTTTGGAGGCTGAGATCAAGGTGTCAGCAGGGGGGGTTCCTTCTGAGGCCTGTGTGGGAGGACGTGTGCTGTGCCTCTTCCCTCACTTCGGGGGGTCTGCTGGCAGTCTGTGGTGTTCTTGGCTGAAAGAAACATTACCCTGACCTCTGCCTTCATCTTCACATGGCGTTCTCCCCACATGCATGCCTGTGTCCAAATGTCCCCTTTTCATAAGGACTCTAGTCATACTGGACTAGGTGTTCACTCTGCTCCAGTATGAGCTCATCTTAACCAATTACTTTTGCAACAGTCTGGCTTCCAAATGAGGTCAGATTCTAAGGTCCTGGGAGTTAGTTAAGATTCCGACATGAATTTCTGGGGGCACACAGCTCAACCTGTATCAGCCTTTCTCCTGAGTTCCGCACTGGTCCTTTCGGCTTCCTCCTGGACACCATACATCAGTATCCTGGGGCCTCAAATTTAACATGATTGGAGTTAGTCTCATCGTCTCAAGTCCCTTCTCTCCTTTTCCTCTGGTATTGTTTATCTTTTGTGGCGGTCCTATCCCACTCAGTTGTCCGAGGTAGAAGCCTTAGGATAACTTGGTCTCTTTCCTGGCCTGCCAGCCTTCAATATCCAGTCGCTACCAAGTTTTGTCATTCCTGCCTCAACTGTATTTCTCTAGCCTTTCCTCTTTTCAGTCCTAGTGCTCTTGCTCTGCCTTAGAACCCTGCTGTTGCTAGCTGTCTGACTGTCTCCCCCATCTTGTCTTTCCTCTGTTAAATTATCCTTCACACCAGTTTCTTTTCTAAAACAAAGATCCGAACCTGATTTATAACCCCAAACCTTCAGCGGCTTCTTACTGCTTGCAGAAAATTAAGGTTAACTTGGTCTTTCAAGTCCTCCATGGGTGGCTGGCATTACAGCTCAAGCCACTCTTACTCCTCATGACCTCTTAGATTCAGGGTCCTAACACCTGTGTCCTCCAAACACAGCATACCCCATTTGTTGTCGCCTTTGTACTTTGCTCTTTCCTCAGTGGGGAATGTCCTCTCTTCCCTGCTCTCTTCTCTCCGTCTTCCCACACCAGTTGGAATTCTGTCTCAGTGGATGCCTGGTTTTTAGACAAAATGCCAGAAGCCAGTTGTTTCACCTTGTACAAGTCATTAACTTATGGTTTTCTCAGAATTAAAATGGGGAGGTTGATGTAGATGTTCTAGATCTTTTCAACTCTAAGATTTGTTCTGTAAATGCCACGCCTCCATGACGCGTTCCCCAATTCTAGGCAGAATAAATCACTCCTCCTCTTGCACCACTTGGAGCGTTATTCTTTCACTTTGACACTCAGCTCTTGCATTCTGGTGGGTATACACGCACATGACCACCTCCCTTTCCCCTGACAGTTTGTAAGTTCCTTGAGCCCAGCCAGGAATGTTTGACTCAAGCTTGCTTCCCTTCCCATCCCTGCCTACCCTTGGTCTCGCTGGCCCATAGATTCTCAGTGAGACAGACTGTATTGTAGAGGATAGAATGTTCTGGGCAAGTGTTCTTCCATAACAAATGCTGTTCTTGAATGTTCCCATGCATTCAGAAGGCTGTGTTTTAGATGGTTAATGACAAAGAGATAGTATCGTGAACATACTGTGAGTTTTTCCTTTCTTTGTGTCATTATTATGACCAGATGACATTCTGGAAAACAGTTAACTTTGTAGCACTGTGTAGAAATGCATTCTAGGACTAGGTGTTCACTCTGCTCCAGTATGAGCTCATCTTAACCAATTACTTTTGCAACAGTCTGGCTTCCAAATGAGGTCAGATTCTAAGGTCCTGGGAGTTAGTTAAGATTCCGACATGAATTTCTGGGGGCACACAGCTCAACCTGTATCAGCCTTTCTCCTGAGTTCCGCACTGGTCCTTTCGGCTTCCTCCTGGACACCATACATCAGTATCCTGGGGCCTCAAATTTAACATGATTGGAGTTAGTCTCATCGTCTCAAGTCCCTTCTCTCCTTTTCCTCTGGTATTGTTTATCTTTTGTGGCGGTCCTATCCCACTCAGTTGTCCGAGGTAGAAGCCTTAGGATAACTTGGTCTCTTTCCTGGCCTGCCAGCCTTCAATATCCAGTCGCTACCAAGTTTTGTCATTCCTGCCTCAACTGTATTTCTCTAGCCTTTCCTCTTTTCAGTCCTAGTGCTCTTGCTCTGCCTTAGAACCCTGCTGTTGCTAGCTGTCTGACTGTCTCCCCCATCTTGTCTTTCCTCTGTTAAATTATCCTTCACACCAGTTTCTTTTCTAAAACAAAGATCCGAACCTGATTTATAACCCCAAACCTTCAGCGGCTTCTTACTGCTTGCAGAAAATTAAGGTTAACTTGGTCTTTCAAGTCCTCCATGGGTGGCTGGCATTACAGCTCAAGCCACTCTTACTCCTCATGACCTCTTAGATTCAGGGTCCTAACACCTGTGTCCTCCAAACACAGCATACCCCATTTGTTGTCGCCTTTGTACTTTGCTCTTTCCTCAGTGGGGAATGTCCTCTCTTCCCTGCTCTCTTCTCTCCGTCTTCCCACACCAGTTGGAATTCTGTCTCAGTGGATGCCTGGTTTTTAGACAAAATGCCAGAAGCCAGTTGTTTCACCTTGTACAAGTCATTAACTTATGGTTTTCTCAGAATTAAAATGGGGAGGTTGATGTAGATGTTCTAGATCTTTTCAACTCTAAGATTTGTTCTGTAAATGCCACGCCTCCATGACGCGTTCCCCAATTCTAGGCAGAATAAATCACTCCTCCTCTTGCACCACTTGGAGCGTTATTCTTTCACTTTGACACTCAGCTCTTGCATTCTGGTGGGTATACACGCACATGACCACCTCCCTTTCCCCTGACAGTTTGTAAGTTCCTTGAGCCCAGCCAGGAATGTTTGACTCAAGCTTGCTTCCCTTCCCATCCCTGCCTACCCTTGGTCTCGCTGGCCCATAGATTCTCAGTGAGACAGACTGTATTGTAGAGGATAGAATGTTCTGGGCAAGTGTTCTTCCATAACAAATGCTGTTCTTGAATGTTCCCATGCATTCAGAAGGCTGTGTTTTAGATGGTTAATGACAAAGAGATAGTATCGTGAACATACTGTGAGTTTTTCCTTTCTTTGTGTCATTATTATGACCAGATGACATTCTGGAAAACAGTTAACTTTGTAGCACTGTGTAGAAATGCATTCTCTCTATAAGATGTTTCAGTCATTAAGTGTTGTATGAAACATAGGGAAACACTCCTGTTTCCTTGTTCCTTTTAAATCCTCTAGAGATGTGGGCTATCTCAAAGTATCACTGAAATTTTCGGACATTTAACATACAAAATAGTGGCAAAGAGCATCATCTAGGAAGGCTTTGTGCATTTGTTTACTCCTTGGAAGTCAAAGCACCTGTGGCCTGTTGTGTGCCACCTAATGGGTAGATTTGACTTTGTCATGACCTTTCTCAGAAACTTTCAATCACTCCTTACTTCCTAGAGAAGAAACACCGGGCCCTTTTCTTGTTTTTACACCCATCTCTGGTCCTATACATATAATCTCATTTCATAGTGTTTTATGCACTTTACTCTCCAGAAAAAACCAGCTCCTCACCATTTTCCTTGTACAACCCTAACTTCCTTTCATACCTGCCTTTCTGCAGGTGTTTCCTCTGCCTGAAGCACCTTCCCTTTTATGCCCATTACTGTACACCTGAATTTCACTTATTGTTCAAGACTCAGCTCACATTCCATTTCTGCCACAGTGCCTTCTCTGATTTCCTGCTAGAATTCTGTCATCATTGTTGTCCCCTGTCTTAGGATTTATCTTTCCTGTATACTATTTCTAGACTAGTGTTAGCTGTCTTACCAGACTAGAAGTACCTTGGGGTCATTTCCAATGTTGATTTAACTGTAGTCCACACCTGCTTCCCAGTATCATCCTTCTCTCAATCCATCAATCCACATGTGGTCAGTAGGTATCAGTAATGGATGAATCTCTGTGAACCATTTTTCTGTTGTTACATAAAGCGTATCTGTTGTTGTATAAAGGTACTAATGAATGACAGAGCTGCTGTATTTTACTGTTGCACAGTCACATCTTAATCTCAAGTTTCCAAGCTTTAATTCTAGAATCCTACAATATGCCTGAAACAAAAGTGATATGTTGAGTAAAACAGTTGTCTTAGAAATTATAAGTCATTTAATGTGCCATGATATCCTCAAACCTGTCATGTCTTTTATTTTCTGTACATTATTATTTCAGTCCAGTATATATAAAAGGGAATGCCAGATGTTTATAAATGTTTTTAGGTTTGAATTTTATTTATTGACAGTGACATTTTTTCCTTAGTGTATCTTGTGTATGCTTTTATTTTCCACAACCTACTGACTATGTTTTATGCCTGTTTTGTGTTGCAGATTGATATCCTTTCAAGAATTCGTAGCATTTGAATCCGTCCTCTGTGCCCCAGATGCTTTGTTCATGGTGGCCTTTCAGCTGTTTGACAAAGCTGGCAAAGGAGAAGTCACCTTCGGTAAGCTGTGAGTGTACACCCAAGTGAGTGCTGACCTGGGCGAGCATTTTCTTTCTTGTAAGAATGAAATGTGTGGACGTGCTTTTAAGAAGTTGGCACATCCCCAAAACACAAAGATACCTCAGTGTTTTGGAGCTCTAGTTCAGATGTCTCCCTGTTTGAAAAAAGAAATTTCTGGCTTAGAATGGTTTTTTTTTTTTTTCTTTTTAAGACATGAAAGTTCTTAGTTTATCAATTCTCTCATGAGGAATTTGTACAGTCACCGAAGATCAGCCCCTGCAGCACCTGACTCCTGTGCTGCCCAGTCTCGAGCCCACTGTTTGCCAGCACCAACGTGGGCCTTGTGGTCCCCCTGCCTATCTTCATTCTGTCCCTGTGTGCCTTTCACAGTGCCTTTTCTTCTCATACTGGCTGTGTCTTGTGAGTCTATGTTTGGGTTCACTTTTCTCTGCGTGATTCAAAAACTCGTAAGTCCTGCCAAAGCCAGTTGTCCTGCCACCACCAAAGTGGGCTCTGAATCCAAACACAAAGGTGGCGTCTGGTGTGCTTGTGTACAGTTTGGCTAGTTTTCCTCAGGTTGCTGGCTTAGGTGTACACCTTCCCAGGGCGAAGAACCTCAGTGACCATTTTTGTTTCTGCTGAAGGAGTCGGTTGGTCTTGCGCTTCCTGGTCCAGAAGGTTACTGCATTGTCCCTGATGGCAGTGTATTGCTAGCAGCCAGGGGGGCAAGCTGGCTTCACTTTGATACTCTGGTTTGTTTTAAGGTGAGGGAGCATGTGGCACAACTTTTTCACAGTCATTGGAGGCACGAGCCAGGTGGGCCTCCCGGTCATCCCCCTTGCGGTCAGGAATGCTTTCCACTGATAGAATGCCGAAGGTCATAAAGTGCCTGAGAACAGAAGGTGCTAGTGTGCCCAGCACTCCGAGTCCTTACCTTGTTTTCCCAGAGTAGCTTGAGTACAAAGGCCCTGTGCAGGATGCTAGCCCAGCGTGGCATGTGAAGGACCCTGTCCCTCTGAAATACATACCCCATAGCTGGGCTGGCAGTGCTGCCACGCTGCTGCCCCATCTGAAAGGCAGGGCCTTCTTCGTGAGGGTTAGCTCAAAGCTGCAGAAAACCCTGAAGACTTCTAAGTATCAGGAAGAGGGAAGACCAGGAAGTGGTGGGGCAGTGTAATTTCTTTTTAAAAATAAACTGGCTGTTAAAGATAGATTTGGCAGAAAGCACCACATGTTCCTTGGGCTGTGTGGTGTCTAGCATATGTTGTCTGTGCATGTGGATGTGCTCTAGATAGCACTGCTCGTGAAGAATTTCGGAGCCCTTTCAGGCATACAGATTGTGCATTCAGGGGTGAGGGCTAATGTGCCATTTTAAATACCTTTTTCATAGTTTCCAAGTCATTCATACCTCTTGAGCTTGTCTTACTTGATGGATTGTGAGATATGTAGAAATGGGAAAGAAATACAGGTGGTGTAAAAGCGCATTATCTACTCTGGAATAGTTCTGGAATGGTTCTGGAGTTGGAGAGACTTAGCTACTTCTAGGTCTGGCACTTTTGTCTCTAAGCCAAGCTAATTATCCTCTCAGGTCTTCATTTTGCTTATCAGAAATGAAGGTAATGACTACATAAAGCATAGATAAGACAGTAAGTAGATTTATTCTGGCAGTCTTACTCCTTCTGCACCTATTTTCCATGTTATTCAACATGACAGTTGTTTCAGGCTAGATCAGCCAGGGCAGAGGTGAAACATACATTTGCCTGCTTTTGTTTCATGTAATCTAGAAGCTGAGATGCTTTCCATTAACACTTTTTGAGGATTATGTAATATTTAAAAATCCCTAGAATAATTTTAGACTTTTCCATCACCTAATTCCTTTTGGTATTACTGTAACCACACCTTTTCAATGGGACACCAAGAAAAATGTCCCTATTAAAAACCCTTAAGTAATAAATAAGCAGCTAGCTTGTGGGGTGTTGGTTTACTCAGTGGAGGCCAGTTTGGTGAAAATGTTCGATAGTGTCTCCTTGGGATAGACAGAAAGTTGGAGCAAGTTCAGCATGGGTGTGCCCTCTCTCTTCTTCCTCTGTTTTGCAAGGCTGAGTGAGGAATGGGAGAGAGTTGGGTTGGAGATGGGGCTGCTGAGGAATGGATGAAAGATGTTTCCCTTGACTAAGGTCAGTCTTCCTTTCATGGGCATGAAGTGACCTGGGGTATTGGTGGCACCAGCCACACCAATGTCCCGGTGGAGATAAAAAGGGGCCCTTTCACCAATGCAAGGAGGGGTGTGTATGATAGTGTGTTTAGAAGAAAAGGATAGGTGAAGAGGCAGGCTGTAGGAGACATCCTTGAGTTTTAAGGTGATGGAGGCTACGGCACGACTTTTTCACAGTCATTGACTATTCAAGCTAGACGGGACTCCTGTTCATCCCCATAACAGCCAGGAATGCTTCCCACCGTAAGATGCAGAAAGTCATAAAGTGCCCAGGAATACAAGGTATTTGTGTGCCAGTACTTTGTGTCCTTGCCTTGTCCTCATGGAGTAGCTGTGGAGTCATCTGTGAGCTGGAGAAAGAACGGTGGCGTGAGAGTTCCATTGCTGCTGCTTACTAGCAGTTTATCAATGGGCAAGTCATGTCGACACTGTGAGCCTTGCTTTCCTCATCTATAAAAATCAGGATAATCACCAACTCTGCAGGATGTGTAAGGGTTAAAAGGTCTACCACACATACAGGTGCTGTCTGGAAAACAAAGGCCTTTAGAAAAATAATATTACTAAAAGACAATTTGAGAGAATAAAGGACATTCTTCTTTTTGTCTTCTTCTTTGGGAAGCTCTTTATTTTTGACATTGGCCAGTTAAGTCACTAATTTGCTTCCCATCTGTTCTCTGTCGAATGCCATCCTGTCTCTGAAGGTGTAAGAGATTGGAATAAAAATTGGGGCTCACAAGGAGCTAAAACTCTGGTTATGCCATCAGTTGCCATGTGACTATTGTAGAAGAATGTACAGTTCCTCTCCCAATACCCTGCACTCCACAGTCAATTTGTCCTGGGGTCTGCCTGTCTCACAAGTCTAAACAGGCTGTGCCTTGTATCCGTTGTAATGAACCAGTGGGGATTCTCACCCTGTGGGTGTTATAAAATGGAGTCTAGGCTTGCTGAGCTGTTGAGCCCTATGTTAGGGTTAAACTGAAAGACACATGCATAGTACAAAGCAGATACCCAAATGCCCATCAAATTGCAGAATAATGGCTGACTTCTAACCTGTTTCATTAGTTAAGGTAGTGTCATCCAGGGGAGGTTGGTGCTGTGTATAACAGGCTTTTGTCCAAGTAAAGAGAATCATAAGAGGTGGGTGGTGGGGAGTACATGGAGCCAAGGAACATTTTGACAGCAGGTACCTTTAGAAGAAGCTGGTAATGAATATGCTTTCCAGGGAACTTGTACTGGAGTAGAAGACATTTTAAAAAAATGGAGTTGTACAGAAAAGAGGCCTAACCTAGTCAGTCCTGGTCTCATAAACACACAGTATTAGGGAATCCTCATCTGTGACCTGGCTGTCTGCCTCAGTGGCATTCCTACCTCTGCTTACTTCCTGAGCTCCTTGTAGTCCTTCACCCAGGAATAGCCCTTTGGTATTGCAGAATGTTGTTTATCTGAGTGGACATTTTTGGGAGGGGTAATCCAGGAGAGGTGAGAGAGTAAGGGCCCCATTTTCACTTCCCAAATTGGCTCAGCCAGGTGTGGTCGTGGGCTGAGTCCTGTGTGTGCACTATACAGGGTTCACTGGGGGCTTCCCCATGGGCGGCAGGGAAGGCAGGTGAGCATCCCCAGATTCCCCGTGTCTCCCGGCCTTGCATTCCATCCAGAGTAGAGAAGTTAGCTTCTTCTGTTTACATACTGGGTTTCCACATAAGAGCTTGCTTGAAGCAGGGCTTCTGTGACTAAGCTCACTAATGACCAGTGTTTGTCAATAAGCTGACAGTGTTCAGCTTATGCTAATGCTGATTCTAATACACACTAAACAAAAATCAGATGGAGCAAGGGGCAGATAATCAAGTGTTACATTTCCGTGAAACCTTGCCCTGTTTTCTCTGAGGCCTTGTTTATGTGTACCATATTTTCATGTCTAGATCATTCCCTGTGTTCACTACAATGAAAAGATCTTGATTAGGCCAATTTTGTTCCTTTGATATCTAGTTCATTATGTTCTGCTATTTCCTTTGAGGGAAAACATAGCTCCAGTATTCTTGTTCTCACCATGTTTTTCTTATTTTGATACCTGATATTTATAAGTGCAGTATGAGATTATCAACAGGTGTATAACAGGATATCAGTATAAATAGAAAATTGTAGTTAACAATTTGTGATTGTGTGTGGAGAAAAAATATTTTTTTCTCGATGTTTTCATTTGCATTTTTAGCCTATTTTATATGACTTCTATTTTTAACTTTTTTAAGGATTCATTGTCAGATGTAGCATACACACCAAGGAATACACTAATTATAAGTGTACATCTTGATGAAGTTATGTGCAGCATATATGTTTGTTTTATGGCATCCAGATCAGAAAGAAAATGGCACCAGCACTCCACAGTCCTCTGCCCCGTTACTGTCCCCAAGGCCCAGTGGTGATGCTGGATATCTGTCACCATGAGTTGGGTTGCTTGTTTTTAAATCAGTAAAAAAAAAAAATGGGATGGTTTGGATTCACTCCTTCATTCTGACTACTTTTGCTCAAATTTTATATGTGAGATTGATCCATGTTTTTGTTGTGTGTATTTTTACTTTGTTCTTTTTCTGTGCTACATGGTATTCCATCATATGACTTTATCCTAACTTATACACTCATTCTGTTGATAGACAGTTGTGCATTTTCAGTTTTGGCTGTTGCATTTAATGTGCTTAAATGTTCTTTTATATATTTTTGGGTGTGTGTATGTATGTAGGCATTTCTGGGAGTAGATTGCTAGGTCATAGACAGTGTGTATATATATATT